AAAAGAAACAAAATGATGAAATAATAAGAACAAAAAAAAAGAGAGGAAGAGAAATATAGAACAGAGAAAAAATAAAACAAAAGAACTTAAAAAAGAACCTGGTGTGGTTTGTAGGTATCAACCACGACACTTCAAAAGGTTAATAGAAATCTCTGTGTGTAATCGTGTATATGCGCGTATGGATGATTTTTTTTTATGTGATGGTAGGCACTGATGGGGGTGGATGGCTGCATGGCGAGCAGGTTCAAGCAGGCTAGTCCTTGATCAATCTGTATATGTGATGTTGCGCGCCGTGCTCGGACGTCGACACCTCGAACACGTATGCTGTGCATAATAACGTTTCCTGCGTATCCCTGTTCGTAACAACCTGCAATCCAAAGAAAAAGTTCTGGTTCAATTTTATTCAATTTTGCGATTAATATTTATCATTAATTTAATATTATATTGATACAATGCTAATATTATATTAGATAACAATCAACGTGTTAATAATAGGATATTGTTAATTTAATATTAATATTATAATTGTGTTAATTATATTTCGAGTGTTTAATACTCCCAGCCGAAACGTTCCGTGCGGACGGAATATTTTTTTTATTGCCTTGTCATTTTAAGATCGATGGACAATATTAATTTATTATTGGTCGAAAAGTTTTGTTGTTTCCTTTCAATGTGAAACTTGAATCGAGGTACAGGAATACATATTGCGAATGAATATATGCATTGAATAAAGAGCATAAAGAGGAACTTGCATTTAAAATTTCCCCAGAAATATGACCTTTTGACCAACTCAATATATTTACTAGAGTAATTTGTTGAAACGAAACACGGCGAGCATTCAACGGCTGAAGAACTCGTAATTAAATATTTAGCGACCAGCAACACTGGTTACCTCTGAGCGATGTTTTTCAATTGTTACGAATACTGTCACGCGGGAATGTAAATCGTTTGTTACCAGAAAATGTAAATGCCTCAGTCTCTTTTTTATCAAATCAGGGGGTGTTTGATTAAATTTTATTATGAGAAATTACATTCGATATTATTATTGTATTATCGTTTATTGCTTTACAAAATTACATTGTCTCGAAGAATGTTAAAGATTTAATCCTCTAGTATATTATTTTCGTGTACAGACTGACAAAATTTGTTATTATTTAAATTTATTAATCAAATTCGGCATTACCAAAGTCTCATATTCTTTTAGTAAATTGAATGTACTAAAAGTGATTTATTCCTTTATTTATCTATTAATTTTTTTCCTTGTTCAATTGCACTCATTAAAGTGTTCAATAATTTCCTATGCGAAAATCATAGCGTACAATATTCGACAAAATATAAAATAATATGTCGTACCTGGAGAATGGTGAAATTCTCGAGCACGCTGTTCATCATGTACTTTTCCGGCAGGTGCTTCAATTTGTGTATAAAGTTGATCATGTACTCGCACATTGGCGAACGACTAATACGATAAACGAACCTGCCATTTTCAAACCTAGCGTATTCCGTCTCCACTTTCTCCACCACCTGTTTACCGAAGGAGCAAACTTTAGTCGAACATGTTATCGTCATGTTCTCGTTGCTCTCGTATCTGTTAAATAGAAAACAAATAATTGATATTAATAACAAACAATGATAACACCTTAGACCTATTATTACCTAGTGCATATTCAGATTTCAGTCTACTTTGTTTTTATTAATTTATTTACTCTATCTCTTCGTTAATTATAATTGTAAAAAGTTCTTACTTGTAAAAATGAAAAAGCATTATTCGATAAATATTATTTTAAACTGATCATTCAGATGATGAATAAATATATTTTAAGTAAAATTATTTTTAATATTTATTATAACTGTCCCATCTGAAAAGGAGCAGTTAAATATTTCATTCACATTTTAAAACAAATCAAATTCAAATTTTGTAACTATCCGTAGGAAAACGACACAACATTTGTATATTAAGGTATCGGTTCTTTATAACTGGTAACATAGGTTATCTGTTATTTCATTTGAAAGAGTTTAAATGAAAATTTAAAAGTCCTCAGGGTGAGGAACTGGTGAGAACAGAGCGGTGGGAGTGCTAACATAATCCTAAAAGCTGACGCTTTATGCCATGTTATTTAGTTACGTACTGGCTTGTTACACCGTAGAAGGCTCCAGCTTCGTCCTGGATGTTAGTATTGAGATCAGCCCAGAATTTAACGAGGAAGAAGGCCGCCTGGGGTCCTTTGTCGTAAAGTTCCTTCAGGCCACCCTTTTTCTCCGGGAATTTGTCGTATATCTGCCTAACGTCAACAGCCTCTAGCAACGGATCCGCGTAAGTCGCTGATCCTCCTATGTGGACGAACAGGTGTTTGTGATACTGAAAAAGAAAACGATTCGAATGATCAGTATAGTTACATTGCGACTACCCGCTGGCAATTTCCATATCGATGGTTCAGTTTATTGCAGTTAAAAATAAATACAATCCGACGTCCCTTCTTCTCCAATAATTCAACTATGTTGTATTTGTATCACACGAATTTAAACAAAAAATATTAATAGAAATATTCTTTTATACAATGTGTTACATTTGCGGACTACTTTTACCGCTTTAGGCATTACAGTATTGTTTCAGAAATTATAGTTACTGTTTTGGGAACTATGGTATTGCTTTAGAAACTATAGTTATTGCTGTGGGAACTACAGTACTGCTTTAGAAACTATAGTCATTGCTTCGAGAACTAGTGTCGCTTTGGAAACTATAGCCATTGCCTTGGGATCTGTAGTATTGCTTCAGAAACTATAGTTATTATCTTGGAAAGTACAGTGTCGCTTTGTAAACTATAGTTATTGCTTTGGTAACTACAGCATTGCTTTAGAAACTATAGCCATTGCCTTGGGAACTATAGTATTGCTTTAGAAATTATAGTTATTGCTTTAGGAAGTAGATTGCTTTGGGAACTATAATTATTGCCTTGGCAATTGCACTACCGCTGTGGAAACTATAATTATTGCCTTGGGAACTACAATATTGTTTTAGAAGCAATAGTTATCACCATAAGAGTTACAATATCGTTTTGGTAATTGCATCTGAGAGATCCAAAAAAAAGATTAGGATTCACTCACTTTGGGAACTAGTATTCATCGATACCGAATGTGTTAATGCTATGGTGACACTTACAATATCCTGGTCTCTCTGTTGATCCATGTAGGCCGAGAACTCGACAAGCCTGAGCTTGTGGGTTGCAATGGCACGTCCTTCCCAGGGCGGGGGTGGTTGAGCCTGGACCATGTCGCCACTCGAGACCGCCGTCGCTGGTTTTCCGGTGTACGCCGGCTGCGAGAATGGCTTGACATCCTGGGACGTTCCTGGCTGCAGGCCCGGCTGCCAAAATTGCTGAAAATTCGATAATTGGTTTCATTTTGCGACGTGCAAATTTCCCTCGGCACAGATTGGTTATCCCAAGCTTTCGGAACCATCCCTGAAAGAATCCTCGCGTTGACTGCCAAGCAAAATACATAACGCTTTGTCTATTAATTGTATTTTTCTAAAATATTAGTACATAACAGTTTTATAAATCGTTATAAAAAAATGTATAAAAAGATAAAATACACAGAAGAATAGATTAACGTAACCGTTAGTTTTAATAATAAAATTGTTTCGATAATTAAGATGGAACTGTATAAATGGCAGTCAACGCGTTTAATCGTCATTACTGATTGTCGTGGGAACTGTCGAATTAACAAAAAAATAGTGGATCCTCTATTATGTGTATAATCGAAGTTTTTATCTTATACGAATATGATAAAATATGTTATTACTATTATCTGATTGACTATCTATCGCGGATAAAAATTGAATATTTGAATTGACTCGAGAATGGCAGAAAAAGGCAGCGAATTTTTATGCGAATCATAATTTATAGAATGAAATTTTGACAAATTGGGGCTAATTACTATAACAAATCAACAAAATTATTTGATTGTGCTTTATATATCTATAAATACTACAAATGCATACAGTTTGGAGTTTAGTTATCGAATAAGCAAAAGTACATATTAAAAAGAGTGCGATTATTAATATGAAAGTTACTGCTAAAATGACCGAATTTCGAAGATTCGCAGAGATTATTGAAATATAATCACTGTTAAAAATAATTTGATATTTTGACATGACGTTTAGTCAGTAAAATATGTTAAATGTATTAAAAACTTCAGTTTCTAACTATTCTAAATATCGTTGTATCCAGACAATTGTGTTCCCTTGTGTAAAACACATAATGGAGTCTCCACTGTAAATCGAACATTTCTAACGTGAAACTTTTTTATTAAATCGCGTACGTAACTCGAAGTAGGGAATTTTTAAATTGTACAAGGAGATCTTATTTTTTACCGTGAGCCATCGAGCCCTCAGGCGAGGAACGATCGTGAACGCTTCAGCACGGGGCGAAAGAAAGTAAAACACAACGATAACAACAAGAACAAGAACAGCAACAATGACAACAACAAGGAAACAAGAATAAAAACATGTACGAAAGTAAGTGAAGGAAACTAATAGTAATCGTACTATATGAAGAGAGAAAGACAGTATCGTAAGCCACAATGACGCTTCACAATGTGTAATCATGTACAAGGTGTTTGACAACAATATAAGGAACAAATTATTGTAGCATTATAAAACGAAAATCAGAATAAAAATATGTACGTTTAACTTTATTATCAAGTTATTAACGATTAAAATTTGTTAATAGTCCAATGCTGGGTAATGCTGGATAAAATATTTGAAATTGTAAATAGTAAAAATTTTATTTTATTTCATTTTAAACTCAAAGACTAATGTTGAAAATAGCATTTCACGTTTATTGTAATTAGTTTTTCAAATAGTATTTAAAAGTAGTATTTTATCCGAAGGATGCATTGAAGATTCTTTTGGCTCGTTTTCGAAATATTTTTGTCCAGCTTTACTGGATTAAGGTGTCCACGGAGGGGTTGTCCGAACGATAAAAATTTCAACTGATGCACTCTGTTACGTGAAAATAGCCGTACTTAAACTAAAAATAAATTTTACTCGCCAAAATTACGGTTTCTTACGTTATAACACCGTTTGTTGCCTCAATTTATTTTCATCGTCAAAAAGCATTCTTAGAATAATTTCAAACATACGACTAAGGCACTTTATTTTGAGCGTCAAATCATCGATACAGAAATTCTTTATTTACCAAAATTTTGGTTTTTATTTTCACATGTTCTTTTATCATATTATAGTGATTTGAAAAATGTAATATTTATAATATGAATAAAGAAGACAATATATTTAGCATTTTTAATAAAATTTGAAACAATTTCTTCTGTAAATTTTATCCAGCTTTTATATTGCTACGTTATCGTAGTTCACAGAGATTTTTAATCTTGAATAACTTGATAGAAAAACCAACAATTTTTAATATTTAATTTTCGTCCTTATATTGCCATGAAAGATCATCCCTTAAATTTTCTTCCACCTGTTGCCGAAACCTTGTACAGTATTCACAGTGCACAGTATTGCCTCTATAATCGCACTTCGTCAATCTTTTCACAGTTACATAATGCCGAGAGAGAAAGAGAGATTACAATGAGTGAACCGGAGAAAATGCTGCATTGTGTCCACTGTTCTAGTATGTGCAGTCAATCCCCACCGATGCGACTATAGAGAGGGAATACTGTATACGCAACCCGTTTATGTACGTATGTATACAGGGTGCTGTGAAAATATGGTATGACTTGGCCGGAAGGTGATTCTTTACACAAAAATACACAAAAAAATATAGAATAAACATTTGCAATCGGCAGTTTAGTTCTCGAAAAAATACATTTTGAAAAATTGTGGCGCACGAATACATTCACCTAACGTTAACTACCGTTAAACGACATTATATTATTGGTTTATTAATTGAAATACTGAAAATTTGAATAAATTAAAATTAATTATATGGTCGAAAGTTTAAAAGAGTCAGAATAATTGGAACAATAAACGAGAATACATGCATCCATAGATAGATATAGCCTCACATACAATTTTACATTTCAACAATTCTTTAATTAATGAAATAAAAGAAAGTATTGTTGATGAAATTAGATTTATGCTTCCTTGAATTCAATAATACATAATAATAATACCATCGTACCATAATGATATCATTGCAAACATTTTACACTGTTCGAATGATCATATTTATTAAATTGATTTTCTCAAAAACGAGTGATTCAATCTCAAAAGAACGAATTTTATTCTGTATTATACTTTTTGTTCATTTTCACGTGAGAAATTACTTCCTGTCCACTTGTACCATATTTTCGGCCGCACCCCGTACCTACATGCCCAGGTGAACACGTATGTAGAGAGATAGAGCAACGGACAAATTGAACAATACACAACAAGGGCCCCCAGGGGCGTAGCAGCAGAGAGCGAGGGGGTTTCGTTTCGTGAGGATGGTTAGTTTTTTGTCGCAGAAGCTTCCGTGATGGAGGTTGATACAGTGTAGACGCTGGAAAGGTACGCCACGTTTGGTATTTTTTGTTTAATAAACAAAAATATACGACCCGCCAATAGAATGTTTCGCAACCTGTACACATACTTCGCCGTGCAATTGGAAGTTATATACACAAGAATACATAATGTTTTGACAAATGTAAGCCGTTTCGTTGATTCACTTATTTCGAGTTTAATTCGTGTAATTTTGTGGACACTGAGAGTTCCATTTGAAACTTCACAGTTACACGAAATAAACTTTTTCTGTTACTATAAGGTTTGAAAATAAAATTTACATTTTAAACGATCGATTAATATTATACTTCGTGTTATATTTTTCAAATTACCATACACTCGTGAAAATATGTTATTTGTTTTTGTAGAATATTTGAAAGGACAAATATAAAGTTTCAAATTAACATTAATATTCAATAAATTAATATTTCACAATATTTTCTCATATGTATTGAAAAATATTGCTGTATTTTCCTATATCTACACTGATTTACCTTCGTCAAAAATTGCAAAAGTGGTGGACACTATTTCACGTGTAATAGATGAATCTAGATCTCGATTCGTGAAATGTTTAATTCACGGCTACTCGTGTGATCCTGCCACACATGTATTTAAATATACGTGGATAGGTGTTGGTCAGTTGAACGTGAAGTCTCGAGTCTCATCTCGGCAATTGTGAGAAACAAACAAATCTTGATCGAAATATACACAAAAACATATAATACGGGAATAGAAAAAATTCGATTGATCGATTGATTTCACGATAACATTAAGTATCCGTGTACTTAAATGCTCTTGTAGACGTGTACTTACGCGGGTACGTGAACAAGGATCTTTAGTTCTTCAATACACGGTTCACACGCAATGTATTATGTGTAATAAAAACACGGATCCTTAATTTCTTAATATACGTTTTACGTGTACTTCAGTGCACGTTCAAAATCGGAATCTTTACAATTCGGACAATAAACTATATTAAAGTTCACAATACAATTTTTAAAATATTTTTCCAACCGATTTTAGAATATATAAAGTAAATTTAATACAATTTTTAGTAAATAATGAAAAAATTTAGTAAATAATCATGTTAATATCATAAAATTATTAATATAAAATGTAGTAGAAATTATAATTTCAGTTTTTGAAAGTTTATAATATTTACTATATTATAAATAATAGCTATATTAGATATTGATGCGCGTGTAAATTTCTTGACGCTAATTTACAATGACGCAACACTAATTAACAGACTCTCACGAACAAAAAACAAAGTAAAATGTAAAACTCTCCAATGATTTCAAAAGAAACCAATCGAATTAAGTTAACAAGCAGAAGATTCTCAATTTACCACGACTAACTGTTACACAATTCCTTCTATCGTCCAGAGATGCCCCGGGGCCAGCGTCCGCAGACTTCACGAAGTTAATGAACACCGAACGGAAGTTGTGCTCCGATCAAGCATCCGGCAAAACGTAAAAACTCTGCCTGTTGTTATTTCACGCGAGCTCACAAAAGCGCAAGGATTATTATTGATCACGTTGAAGTGCGAATGAAAATTAGGACAGTTGACAAACCACACGATAGTAGACCGCCCTATCGTAAGCGGATTAAGAAACGGTTGCAGGGCGAAGCGGTTAGAATTAAGAAACAAATAAATAAATCAATAAATCAATAAACAAATAAATAAAAACAGAGACGAACTTCAAAGAAGAAGCCAAACCGACAATGTAGCGATTAGAGTTTTTACATCCTCAAGACGACGAGACACCGTTCCGCCATCCGCTATCAGGATTCTTCTGCGACACGTGGATTGAACGGTGTATCGTGACACCGAAAAAGTCGACGACTAAAGGAACGAACTACGTTCACACGTACGCCGCCATATTTAACACTAAACGTACCGTAATCGGTCAAATGACCGGTTTTAAGGTTTCATTTAAAATTCTGTGTTTCCGTTCTGTAATTTAACTTTATATCAATCCCTGTATTGTCCGATCAATTAGTTCTTCAATGTTCGTCTTTCATTCCGTTTTCACAAAGAAAATTTATCGTCCAACTTGTTTACTTTTATTTTTTTATAACCAATTATTCGATTAGTTACTTTAATTGCATAGAAAGTGCTAGTACGTTTAATGTTAACGATCACCTCGTCAGACACAGAGGACATAGACCCATCATTCTATGAGTCATTCACTTGGCAAAGCGACTAACTCTAATTTTTGAATATTTCAAATTTCAAAGCTGGACCTAGTTCTCAATCATTAATTCATTCTTTACACATGAACCTCTGTTACATTTTTCTATTATCTATATTCATGGAGTTAGCCGCTTTGCCCAATGAATGGCTTATGCACTCTAAACAAAGAAAACACTCGATTCGCGAACACAGTTCCAAAATTCATCCACTTCTTTCTACTTTTTCAGCCTCCGCTCCAAAGATCTCCGCGTCGACCATTACACTTACAACATGGCGACGAATATGCTACCCGCCGTTGCGATTAACCTGTTAACCGGATGGCTCTGATACCTTGCATCCTTACGATTCAACGCAGACGCCACGATACAATCGAACTAACTAATAGATTGTTCTATTAAACGAAACATGATCGTACGCCAGCGACGAGTTAGCACGACATGGACACCGTGTTAACAGGTTAAGATTACACGGAGCTTCGCCAAAACCATTCCCAAATCGAGTTATCTAGTTTCCAAGCGGTTCTCGGCCTGTTGGAATGGCCACGATCTCTCTTTCTCTCTTATCCGACCGTGTCTCGTCGTCTCGCCCCCAAAAGCTCGTGGCTCCTTTTTGTGGAAAGTGTTGCAGTCCGATGAAAGAAAGAGAAAAAAAAGAAACAAAAGAACAGAAAATCGTTCCAAGGGGTTGTTCCGTGATCGGGACTTACCGCTCCGGGATAGGAGACAGGGGTGGAAGCATGAAGGGCAAGGGGCCCCACGAGGGCGGGGGGCATCTTGTTGTGTATCGCACTCCCAGCTGATACTATCTGGGCGCTTGACATGCTCGACATTGTCTGCAGCGCCTTCTCCTTGGCGGCATGATCCTAACAAACCGTCAAACCGATTATAACGTGTCTGCCTTGTGACCGTGTACCCTCGCAAAGCACAATTCAAACCGTTTATAACCTTATCTTAACGCTACGCAGTGACCTTGACCGCGCGACGAACGCTAGCACGTGATCTTTCGATGATCATGGATTTTTTTAGGAAACATTGGAGGGCTGCAGCCCTCGCAAAAATATTTGACAAGTGCTTTTTTTGCTTTTTGTTATCGTTCATATCGAAGAGGTGGACGTGGCTCTTAAAGTTAGGGGTAGAAATATGTTTGGTCGAATGCCTTAGAGCTACTGGATACTGAAGTTTGTAACGTGAGCTTGATAGGATTAATCGAACATTTTTTAACGTTCCACTGCAAGCGACGTGTGATGGTACTTTTAATTTCATGTTATCGTAAAGCATGCAAGTGGCTTTTATAAAATAATAATTACCTTATACTTCATACGGTTTATACAAGGCGTGTGAAAGGGAAAATACAGTGGAGAATGTAGTGTTTCTTTGTTTTGTAATATGGTAGTGCTGAAGATGGATGGGTTTGTGAATGGTATAACGGACAACTTAGACATATAATTTATTCTTTTAGTTGATAGAGTACTGTGTATTATGGTAAATTGTATTCTTTCGATATTGAGCAAAGTTTCTTCTTCCATTCTTTGTCGATTGTGAATTTTAAACATCGTATCATTTTGTAAATTATATTTTGTTTCTGACTGTATTGCTTAAACAAATGGAGTTTTCTAGTATGTGCTTCCACTGCTGGATTCTTTATCAAACAATATGTGTTAACTATTTTCGTGAAAACTATACTTTAACAGAGCTTCATCGGAATCGACGAATGTCAGGTTAATAGACTTATTTTGAGTCGCTTTGACAGAGAATTAAAAATATAAATAATAATATTTAAAACATTTCCATAAATATTATACCTCAGCTTCTATTTCTAATATTTTATACAAAGACAAACATGTGTATACATATCAAAAGTGACTCTAAAATTTGCCCAAGAGAGATTTTATAATGTTTTCAACGAATCTATTTCTCAAGGATTAAACGAAAAATGTACTACATCGTTTTTATAGTAGAAAAATATTTAAAAAGTATCGAATTGATATTTTCGAAGTAATTTACTTATAAAATTCATTAAAATATAATTTTCTTATACAAAGATAAGTTGCACTGTACAACTAAGGATATTGACTAACCTGCTCAAACTCATAAGTTCTTTATTCTCCTTGTCTTAAAAAATAAACGCATTAACAATTACAAAAACCACCGAAGCAATTATAAAGATCGCAATCCAAGTAGGAAACAACTCTACACCGCGATAAACAAACAAGTAAACCTGCAAGATCCGAAAAGCTCGCCGAGAATGTCATACCGAACCAAAACAAAGTGAGAAAAACGAGAAGAATCGGAATGCAAGCTCCACATAAAGGCGTAAAAGGGCAATAGAAAACCAGCAATAAATAGTTCCCAAAAATACCGCGAAAACTACTCGGAGCTTCACCCTATTGGATCGTATCGGTGGCTCGCGATGCAGTTCGGCCAGAACGGATAAAATCAAATCGATAAACCATTTCTCATTGGTGCATAATTTCGTTATCGCCAGTGGATTTCCCCCTGCCCCCGGCCCGTCCGTCGATGTTTTAGCTTGACCGTGGTTGATGTCATCGATCGCTATCGGGGAAACGGCAATGCAGTTGATTGCTGAAACAAGCCCCGGTTTTGGGTCGCGAAATTCGCGGGAATTTTGCGCTTTTATCGGAAAGCCGTCGTTTTAATCAGAGGCCCCAGACCGAAAATCGCTGACGAGGCCGAAAGCCGGCAGCGAGAGAAAGAGGGAGAAAACAGGGGGAGAGAGAGAGGGAGGTTCGTTCGCGTGATATCCGGGAAATTGGCGTGTCCCTCCCCCCTCTCGGCCCGCGCACCCAGGCCACGCTACAGAGCTTTTCAATTTCGTTCATAAATCCGTAAT